AGTCCTTTCCAGTCATTCTGCTGTTAGAGTCAATTTGCCAGGGAGCCTTTTATTATATAGGATAGAGGCCTGGTGCATGGGTGGGGGCCAGCTGGTTTGCCCTGAAGGGTGTCCCAGATCAGGGTGCGGGTCCTGCTGGGATGCCTGGCCAGCCTGGGTGAGGGGCTGATGGCTGTTTTGAGATTGGCCACACCCCCTTCAGGGTGGGAGTCCCTGCTGGAGTGCCTGGTCAGCCTGGGTGAGGTGCTGAGGGCTGTTTTTAGGCTGGCCACACCCGCTTCAGGGTAGGTGTCCCGCTGGGGTGCCTGGCAAGCCTGGGTGAGGGGTGATGGCTATTTTCAGGCTGGCCAAGCCCCCAGTGGGGATCCTCACCTCTTGAGTGTGTGTCAGCCTGGGTAAGGGGCTGATGACTGTTTTCAGACTGGCCACAGCTCCTTCAGGGTGGGGGTCCCCATTGGGGGCCTGGGCAGCCTGTGTGAGGAGCTGAGGGCTGTTTTTCAGTTGGCCACACCCCCTTCAGGTGGGGGGGCCCTGCTTGGGTTCCCCAGCCAGTCTGGGTGAAGGGCTAATGGCTGTTTGCAGGCTGGCCAAGCCCCCAGCAGGACCCTCACCCATGAGTGTGTGGCCATCCTGTGTGAGGGGCTGATGGCTGTTTGCAGGTAGCCATGGCCCCCAGCCACCCAAGCTCCCAGTGGAGGCTGGCTGGAAGCAGGTATCTGGGATTTATTTTTCTTCTATAATTAAAACTTTGTTGCCTTAAGCGGAGGCCACAGCCGGCCAGGGCAGGCGGGAAGCTTGGCTTCCTCCATCGCCGGAGCAACCAAGCCTCCTGATTGCTCAGGCTCCATGGCTGCCGGCTGCCATCTTGGATTGGTTAATTTGAATATAGTCACTCTGATTGGCTGGTAGGCGTGGCTTGGGGCATAGTGGAGGTGCAGTCAATTTGCATGCTTCTCTTTTATTAGATTAGATAGACATAGCCCATGGACATTGACAATAGGGTAATGAAGACATGGGGGGTGTAAAGGCTGGGAAGATGGGGGGAGGGGAGAGAGAGATCCTGTAATATTATCAACAATAAAAAGTATATTTAAAAATAAATAATAAAATAAAAAAATAAAATAAGCATGAAGTTCCTTATACATAAATATAGAATATTCATAATTTTGTTGGACTCTTTATGCCATAATCAGCCTTATTAGAAATTATTAACTACTTGCTATGTGCCATTCATTGTGCTAAACTTGGTCACTATATTTTCTCGTTTATATCTCAATGTAATTCTATGTGGTAGGCATGATTATTATCATTTAATAGAGAAAAAATGAGACCTAGAGGGATATAGAAACTTGTCCAAATTTACTCAGCTAACACAATCTGGTTTTGTATTTAAAGCTGTGTGACTTCAGAGTCTCTTTCCTGAAATGGGCCTGGGTATAAACCCAGTCTTGATCATAGACATTTCTCTAAGATGTAGCACTGGTGCAGAGGATCCCACCACAAAATAGAGTAAGATGGTTTTGTTTCAATTTTATCCTTGAAGAAGGGAATTTGGCTATCTCAAAAGTTAGTGTCTAGAAGTAAAATTCAAGACATCAGCCTTCTCTTACAATATTCATTCTACTATTTCTTCTTCTTATCTTTTTGCTAAATTTTTTCTTCCCCTTTTTTCACATCTGTAGATATCACTATTGCCATTGTATACCAAAGCAATTTATCCATTGGCAAAGCTTACCCTCAATATTTCTTAGAAATGTACCAACAATGGTGAAGCAATTGGATATTCCAGCTATGCCTATATAATACCATTTAATATTTGTACAACATTTTACAATTGATTAATAATAATAATAACAGCTATTTATTGAGTGCTTACTATATTCCAGGCTCTGTTTTAAGTGTTTTAGTTGGAGTAGCTCAATCTCTAATACTACTATATGAGACAGGAATTATCTCCATTTTATAGAAGTGACTAGAGACTCAGAGTAATCAACTGACTTAACAAAAGTCACACAGCAGTTTTTGACTTGCACTTTAGCTAGTGGGCTCATCCTCTTAGTCACTCTATCACACTAATGGATCAGGATAATATACCAGACTTCAAATTTAAAGAGTCCCTGAAGCTCCTAGATAGGTTGTTAACCCAACTTCCAACACAGGTTTCAAGAAAATCTTTGAAAAAAATGTACTGATGTGTTAGGAAAATGTTTCTTTTTTTAGTTAATATTTCTATAATATGCCTGCTTATTTTGCAGTTGTGCATTGCCTGTCAGGGTGAGCATGAAGTAAGTTTGCTCTGTAGAAAGGAAGGCACAGTTGTTCAGAGTTTATTTTGGTATACATCCAAAGTTAGAAATGTTTAATGTATTATCTCCAGTGTTTTAACTGTGAAAAGCATGTCTTTATCATGATCTTTTTCCAAGTCATCTTTTCAAGTATATGTAATATTTAAACTGGTTTATTTTTCATTCATTCTGTTTTTTGCCAAGTCTTTAATCATTTTGTATCACTCTCATGTTCTGTTATGGTTTCTTAGCCTGTCTGAATCATGTTATGATAGGCCTTTAAGGTCTACCCTTTTGTGCTTACACATAATCACAGCTGAATAGGGGAAGATCAGGTGGCACTATATTGTGTTCATAAAATGACTCAGACTATCCTGGTTGTCCTGGGAATCTAAAAGATATGTGTAAAGGCTCTGTAACCCCTTTATCTGAACTCTTATCAGTTAGCAAAAAGAAATGAGGAGAGGGAATATGCTTTTAGCACTTTCTCCTGTTACTCTATGAATGAGGTTTAGACATTAGGACAGAATATTCAATAATGTTAGCATTTTTAGAAACATTTTTGAAATAAGAGCTACATATTATTTTCTTTGTTGAACTAAGAAGAACACTAGAACAACCTCATTATTCACTGAGAACACTTATCATAGGAGTATTGAGTCCCTTTATGGCATTTCTAAACAAAAGAATCCCCTAACTTTAATAAAACATCAATAATGAAAATATGAATGCATACTTTGGGGTAAATCTATGTGATTAATTACCTTGGTTGATAAAATACTAATGCTAATGTGGTCAAGGCTACCAGATTGAATCTCCACTTTCCTGCCCCAGTGATCTAATTTCAGATGTTTGTCATTGGTTATGTGGGATGGATTGGGGCATTAATGGATATTTCAGTCAAAATTTATTCATTTATTTATTTAACTGTTCATTTATTCAACACATT